AAGGGTGTTGTTTTACACGACCACTGAGACCATTTCAAGAATACCCTAAAGAATCATACCAATTTGTGGAAAATGGGCATCCGATGTCCCCTTTGAAGCACAGCCACCACAAAATCAGACTTACTTTAAAATCATTCTGAGGTTAAATACATATTTAAAATAATAACAAGAAATATTTTAATAGCTATGATACTGTTTTTGAAATCAAATCTTTGCATACAGCTATGGCCAGAAACACTGGAATCTAACAATACCTTAGAAAAAAAAAAGTTAATCTTAAAAAAAAAAAAGCTTATACATAAACCCTATCGGATAAGCATGTTATAAACTTCTGAAACATTGATGTTTCATATTGTAGAGCAGTCACTGCAATTTATGAAAGAACTCAATTAAATATGTATGGGGGAGTGTTTGTGAAAAAAATCAGATGTAACCCCCTTTGTAATCCTTAACATTTTCATAAGTAACTGTAATTTAATTACACATTTTTTCTTAGTAACTGTAACTGATTACAATTACTTTTATTTTGTAATTAAATTACGTAATTCCGTTACATGTAACTAGTTACTCCCCAACACTGCACATCTTAGCTTTGATTTGCCCTCTAGATTTGGATGTTGTTGTGAGGAGGAACACAGTAACATCTTTAAACATTGACAGGGCACATTACATCATATTTACTACATTACACTGCACCATAACGTGGTTTTGGCTTTATAGGGTGTGCGGATCTTACGCAGACCTAGATGGTGGATTCATGTCTGAGGCCCTGATGGACTTCACTGGTGGGGTGCACATGGAGTTTGTGTTGAATGAAGCTTTTATTTTTTATGATTATTTGCGAATCGCGTTTGCTCTTCCACAAAAGAGAGGGGTGGGGTGAGCAGAGCTCATTAGCATGTAAAGAGATATGCACCGAAACGAGTCGCTGTGAACAGAGCTGTTTTTGACAAGGTAAAAAGGGTGTTGTTTTACACGACCACTGAGACCATTTCAAGAATACCCTAAAGAATCATACCAACTTGTGGAAAATGGGCATCTGAAGCACAGCCACCACAAAATCAGACTTACTTTAAAATCATTCTGAGGTTAAATACATATTTAAAGTCATAACAAGAAATAGTTTAATAGCTATGATACTGTTTTTGAAATCAAATCTTTGCATAGCTATGACAGGAAACACTGGAATCTGCCTTAGTGTTGCCTTAGAAAAAACAGTTAATCTTAAAAAAATAAAGCATATACATAAGCTTGTTATAAACTTCTGAAACATTGGTGTTTCATATTTTAGAGCAGTCACTGCAATTTATGAAAGAACTCAATTAAATCTGTATGTGGGAGTGTGTGTGAAAAAATCAGATGTAACCCCCTTTGTAATCCTTAACATTTTCATAAGTAACTGTAATTTAATTATACATGTTTTCTTAGTAACTGTAACTGATTACAATTACTTTTATTTTGTAATTAAATTACGTAATTCTGTTACATGTAACTAGTTACTCCCCAACACTGGGTAATACAGTCCAAGATCATACACAGGGAAATCAAACAACAGGAGAAAACGCTCAGAAGTGCTAGCCGTGGCAAAACAATACTTCAAGGCGAATAATGAGAGTCCGGAAGCAGTTTAAATAGGCTGGCTAAGAGGGATCACCTGAGCTAGTGATCAGTCCCAGGCACGGGGTATATGGGAAATGAAGTCCGAGGCGATCAGAGAGAACCACAGAGGCCTGATTCGTGACACAAGCTGAAAATGCACAGCATTCATGACACAGTTATCCACATGTTAAAACCTATTACAACACGTGGTGACGTGGAAAACGTGAAATTCATGTTGTTGTTGTTTTTTTTGTAAGGGTCTGTTTTTGCAGCAGCTCTATTTCAACTCTGTTTCAACTCTGTTAAAGAGTTATGAGCTAGTAAAGTACGTGCATTTTAATGTTCGAAGAGGATATCATAAATTAACATTTTAAAACAGGGCTATTCAATTGGTGTCCCGCGGGCCCATTCCGGCCCGCCAATCATCTTCATCCGGCCCGAGGGAAGAGTACGCGCAGGGCTGCGTTCCCCGCTGCCATTTTGAAGTGCGTTCCACTTCGTGAAGTGAACGAGGGAAGTTTATATGGACAGATTTTGACCGAGGGAGCGAGTCTGCTTCATATGCACACTTCAGGCCACTCCACAGACCACAATGCAACACGATTGTGACATCATCGCAGATCGCATTTAATTTATCCCCACCCCAAACAACTCTATAATATATAAATGATTTTTTTAAACATTTATAACAGCCCAAACATACCTTTATACATATAGAATGCTGCACCAAACAAAACAGTAAGGGGAAAAATGCAAACAATAAACCAACTCTATAGTGGATTCTAAGTGATCAAGGGCTTAGGACATTCCAGTTCAGTCCACTCCAAGGGTTCCACCAGTAGTGGGCACTCATGCAATGTAATCAATGACGTACATCCGAGTGAACGAGACGGAGGGAAGTTTGCAAGTGAAGGGCATAAAAAAACGGACTGGAATGCAGCCCAGGTCACACTTACGCCTTGAATTGTTTTTGCACTAATTAGTTTGTCCACAAGGTGGCAACACTGGTCCGGGCCGTTGTTTCACACAGCCAAAAAAGAAAAGGAAGAGACGCAACGACAATCTACCGGAGACCGCAACATCAATAGACGGCAGTGTTGACAAACGCTTGTGTGAGGGGGTTATGAGATATCCACAACTCTAGTTTAAACGAGTATAAAGACAGTGTTATCAGTCATAATTTCTGGCGAGAAATAGCTCAGACACTGGACGAAGATGATTGTCAAATGGAGTTTAGTTTGAAAGGCTGCGCATTCGGCTGTACGCATACGCTGAGCCGCTTCAGCAGATTGTTTTAAGTTCACTTAAATTAAAAGTTGTTATATTTTTCAGATCCTACTAAATGTAAAAAAGAATGGCTTTCAGTTATAATGTAATGTTTAATGGTTATAATTAATAGCTAAAATGAAACTGCATTTAATTGAGACATCAGTAGCAGTATTGGTATAAAAAATACTAGCCTTTGTTAATACTAGGTTACTTAGTAAAGAGATGCCATTAAACATTTATTTAAAATATACCACCTTTAGGTTGTTTCTACATTAATTTGGAGGTTCAATGTGAAATTATGACAATATATTAATATGCAATTAATCACGATTAAAGATGCAATAGGTGATTGTCTTAAAAACATTTTTTGTTATGCTGGTTGAAAGTCTCTTCACATCCTGATAGCAATCATTAAGTTAAGTTGTATAAATGTATTAATCTGTATTTTTATATTATGTGGAAGGCGTAGGACCAAGAAATGTTCGTCCAATGAAAACGC